CAATTATCACAATTTGATCCTAGCTATTAAACAAGGTTATACAATTTAATTTTATTTTGCAAAATCCTAAATAAAAGGTCTCTGTCTTAGCAAACTTGCATCCAGTCACTGCACTACAGCCATCTCCTGTCTTGATTGAGCATGCAGTGAAAGTGGACAGAAACTTGCAACATGTCTTTGACTCTTTAGCAATTGTTCACACTGAGCATACATGTGGCGACAGTGGAGAGTAAAACAAACTTTTTAAAGGCATAAACCTCCAGCAGAACCAGGCTCAATGCGATCCACTGTCAGTTGTCACTAGTGTTTTATGAGTGGACAGAGCAGACACAAAAGGAACACAGATACAGTATACCTAGTATTTTCTATATGAGAGAAAAGTTAACAACAGTTGTAAGTGGATAAGTTGTTAAGCAGATAAGCTAAGTACTATTTTAAAGTCCATAGTTAGGGGTGGGCAATATTGCAAAAATATAATATTGCAATTTTTGTATCATAAAAATCATAATTTACTTTATATCAAAATCTTACTTGTGTTTTTGAGAATATTTACACTCATCAGAGACTTGCAAACCATTGCTGTTTGTATAACAGACTTCCCTTTCTGTGCAGATTTTATTTAAAATAGAATTGGCTTTGCTAACACGTGCAAAGAACATGAACATACTAAAAGGTAAACAACACTCAGACAAAGCCCACTCCTGCAACATAAAAAGTAGATTTCAAAAAACCTGAAACTTTGTAATATATTAATGAAGACAATGCTGTTTGTTTTCTTCAATAGTTAACTACATTTCTGTGCATTAAAATACTAAATAACTTTCTGAAAATTATCAAACAAAAATGAAAACTTATTTAACTGTTATTGGTTTTATTTTAAGAATAAAAAAAAGGGCAAACATTAATAAAGACACGAGTGTTCAATTTCTTAAGCAGTCATTTTAAAAGGATTCAAGTCTTCGTCTAAAAGGAGAAATCAAGTCAGACTCCTATCACAGATTTTTAGCCGAGAAAACAATTTTGTCAACTTTATTTGGCCTGAGAGTAATGCTTTGACAAGTGACTTTGTTGCCACCTGTGGTGACGGCTGGTTTCAATAGAGCGCTTGAATGTGCCGATTCTTTTTAGCTTGCTAGTGGACTCAAAGTAGTTGGTCAACTGCTTTGAACAAGCATTTGAACCCCTCGTTTTCAACCGTCTTGAACAAAACCTTTTCCTTTGCATGATAAAAATAACTGGTTCTGTTACCTCTTTCCAACTCTTGCTTGTCTTTTCATACAGAGTGGTTTTACCAAATGTGTGTGTTAACGTTGTCTGTTTGGATCCAGCGACTGCCTCTGGTTGAGATGCTGCCGGTGGTCGCCCCCCTGTTTGCCTCTCAGGTTACTTTGAGCGCTTTCCCTTTATATAGGGATGCACGATATTGGGATTTTGGCCGATATCCGATATGCAGATATTTTAAAACTCATGTAGCCGATAACCGATATCGATACTGATGTTAAAGCTGGACAAAAATAAGTAGTCATTGAAAATAGCAGTTTTGTTATCCATTTCTGACACTTTAAAAAATAATATACTGAAATATATTTTCATATGCTGATATCAAATAGATTTTTAAAAACGCTTTATCGATCTATTTTACTTTCAAAATCTTGTGAAATTTCATCGTTTTGTTACAAACTCTCGTGATATTTTGCAAATTCTTGTGAGATTTTGTTAGTAAAATAGATCGATACCGCGTCAATATATCAACATATAAAAATATGGCAAAATTTAGTGAATTTTCGGGGGATGTCGTAGCATATCGATGACATATAGCAATATTTCATTAGTAAAAGAGATTGATATGGTGTTTTTAAATCGCAATTTATCAGCATATGAAGATATTGTGATATTTTAATGTATCAATATTTTTTCCCTCGTCTTTAGAAGTTTTTAAGTCTGTAAAAAATAAGTTTTTGAGGAAGATGAAGAAGTAGTATATTTTTTTTTTTGTTTAGACTTTAGAAACTCAGAAGCTGATCAAATATCGGGTTAAATATCGGTGGGGTGGCTGATGTCCGATATTCAGTTTTAAAGCCGATACAGGCCGATACCGATAGGGGGCCGATTATATCGTGCTTCCCTAATAGTATACGCTTGCATTTTGTTGTTGGCTCTTTAGCAAATACTACTTATTCTGTTGGAGGTTGTTTGCCTATTTTTTTCCTCAGGTTCATTTGCTGAAATCACTGAACCAATGTAAAATGTTGAGCATGAAATTAGTCCTAATAGTCTTTCCCTTCCTATTTTATTACAAATATAAATTGGAAAGTAAAGATGTGATTAAATCCTAAACAATTCTTGTAGTGGGTGTAGATGTACTTTACAACAAGATGACAAGAAAATTAACCAAAAAACATGAAGCCAGGACTAGAATGAAAACATTTTAATGGAGGCATATTCATGTTTTTGATTGGTCCAATCAATGATTTAACCATAATTTCAAGTACAAATCTGTGCATAATAATTACAGACAATGACGATCAAAGCTGAGCTTTTTCCTCATTAAATCAAATTAAACAAAAACTTGGGTCAATAAGATACCTTTAGCCACTACCTTTCTTTAATATTTGAATGGAAAAACAACCTCCACCCATATGCTAGTTTAAATGACCAGTAGTTTTTCATGTTGCACTTCATTTCTTAGTATGTTCATAAATAACTAACCAAAAACACGCAACTCATCTTCTTCGTTCTTTAGCCGCACCTTTAGATGCAGTAGTAGTTCTTTCATGGGAGCAGAGAACCAAGGCCTGTCTTTGGATGAACACCATCAGTGAATCTTAACCAACTACTGGAGTCATCTTTTTTTTTTCTTTTATTAACTCGCTATTTTTATATTAACTAGATGTTGTCAATCTTTTAAGCCAGGGGTGCCAAACTGGTTCCAGAAAGGGCCATGTGGCTGCAGGGTTTCTTTCCAACCAAGCAAAAGCACACCAGACTCCAGTCATCTCTTCAAGTGAGTCCAGTCTGAACATGATGACTTGATGAGAATGATGGCGTTCTATTGCTTTGTTGGAAACAAAACCTGCAGCCACATGGACCTTTCTGGAACCAGTTTGACACCCCTCTTTTAAGCACAAGTTAAATTGATGCTAACTTGTTTAAGGAGTACAATTTTAAATGTATCACTCTTGAAATGTGATGAAATAACCTTTAATTTTTGAAATTACAGTCGACTTGGTTTCTGTACTCATCACGTTAAGACACAATGACACTGCAGGAAGACGTGCAATTTCCGCCTATAGGGATCAATATGCTGTGTCAGCCAGAAAGCTCCTACAGGGGACTGCCCCCCTTAAAACCTGATCCATTGTGCATAATTACCCCAAGGTCAGGAAAAAGATCCATTTGCATACTGATGCAGGCACCTTGAACTTGCAAACTTGCCTGCCAACCAGGCATAAAATTAACCAGTCAAATCAAGTTTGTGTATGTGTGTAACTTTAAGCTTAAAAGCTGCACTTTTTCTGCTTTTTCATTTTGGCACAGACGTAGACTTAGTAGGAGGCTAATTGAAAAACCTATACTGCTGTTACTCTTTCTTTGCTCGTCTGTTTTTGTGTATTTGGGTCTCCTTCATAGTATGATCCAGACGATTCACCAGCATCATCTTTTGGCTTTTTCTTTTTTAATATGACCTTTATAAAACTCAAAAGGATGGATACCTAATAGATCGTCATTGATTCACTCATCTTGTGCTAATTGTAATGACATATATGTGGATCCTTTATTCTACCTGGTTAGAAAAAATAGGAAAATTTAATTAATTTACTCCTGTGTTAGTGTTCCTTTTTAGCATGTGGATGTTATGTATATTTCTGTAAAGTTATGCATTATGGGATATAAGATCACTTAAGTCTTTTGAAGGGGAAGCTCCCTGGCCAGCCAAGGGACAATGTCCCTCCAACATGTCCTGGGTTTTCTTCTAGGCTTCCTCCTATGAGGGAGGCACCCAGGGGACATCTGAAAACGATGTCCAATACCAGCTCAGCTGACTCCTCTCGATGTGGAGGAGAAGCGGCTCTACTCCAACCCCCTCCCAAATGACTGAGATCATCATCCTATCTCTAAGGAAGTGCTCAGCCACCTTGTGGACAAAGCTCATTTCAGCCGCTTGTATCCAAGCTGTTGCTCTTTTGGTCATAATCTGAATTTTATGACTATAGGTGATAGGGATGGAACGGTTTATAAAAACCGTCCGAACCGTTCGGTTTCGACTGTCTCGGTTCGGTTCGTGTGTGTTGCGTTCGGTTCATGCGCTGCTCCTTTTTCTCATAGGCGAAGCGTTTACACTCCAGAGCAGAAGATGGCGGTACTGCGACCATAGCCAACCACCAGTAGTAAACAAGAAGAAGAAGCAGCGTAGTCGGGTGTCGCAGAAAAAATCAATTGTTGTGGAGAATTGTGTGGGTATGGCGAGTGGGAAAGAACAGGAGTTGGAAGACGCACCAGCAGCACTTTATAGGTCTGCACATAATCCATCAGCGCCCCGCTCCGCTCGGGACCGCCTGCACAAAGCAAAGCCTACAGCTTCCTCTGTGGCTCCCGTCCGCTCCGCTCTGAGTTCCTTGGAGATCGTAGAGGGCATGTGCCAGATGATTAAATTCAAAGCAGCAAAACATGCGGAAATGATCCAGGGTTTCCGCGGATCATTAAAAATTATTACAATTCATAAATTTTTTTGGATTTTTTCATTAATATCATTAAAAAATGTTTATTCATTTTTATGATTTTTATAAATTTTTTATTTTTCAGTGTAACAATTAACATATACCGAACGGAACCGAAAACCGTGACCACGAAACCGTGAACCGAACCGAACGGTGGATTTTGTGAACCGTTCCACCCCTAATAGGTGAGGGTAGGAACATAGACCAACCGGTAAATCAAGAGCTTTGTCTTTTTACTCAGTTCTATCTTCACCATGACAGAACGGTGCAGCTGCTGTTATAATGCGGAGGCTGCTGTCCGTCGATATCCCGCTCCATTCTCCACTCATCAGTAAACAGGATCCCAAGATACTTTCACCCCTCCACTTCAGGCAGGGACTCTCCTCCAACCAGTCCACGTGGCACCAGGACACCATAGGTCGGAGATTGATGATTGACTTTGTATTCATATCCTCAGACTGTCTGCCGCATATCTTGGACACTTTGGTTGAGTTGGACACGCTGGAAGAGGAGGAAGTCGGATACTTTGGGCAGGCCCAGCTGAGCAGTGGGGGTCCGCAGGGAATGCTGGTGGGGCCGTGTGCTCAACTTCTACCTCCTAGACTGCTTCTCCCAGATTCTGGCTGAGAGGATTCTCTTTTCAGTTTGGCTTAGGCACTGTAAAGAAAAACTGTTTGGTTATGTAAACTTAAATAATGGTTCACAGTAGAGGGGTACTGTAATTGGACTGTTTGTGGATTTATGGAAAGTGCTGAAGTTTGAAAGAGGTCATCATCACTGAGACTAGTTTCCAAGTATTTGGCACAAACAAGTCATTTAAAAAAATATGCCTGTACATCCATTCATTCAATAACATTCCTCAAAAGGTCCTGTGGGTTCAGTATAAATCAGACCTTCCATATTTGTGACCATGTACCGACCAATATTAACTCCACTATGTACAGCCCTAAAAATAAAAAATAAAATCATCCCTCTAAGGGATTCTAAAAACGTGAGAGCTGTCACTTTATATCTTGCTGACAATAGACGTAATGATGTGAAGATGGATGAATTTACATATTCTTTGTAGGTTGTTGAGTGATATTATTATGTACGTCCACTTCAAAACAATGAATATTTCTTTTGATGGATGGATTGAAACATTAGTTATATAAATTGTTCCTTATCATTATACGATCTCAGGATTTTACAATACTAGTGAGAATTTGAAGAGGGACAGATGCTTATTTTATGAATAATAACAGGCCACAGCATCATCCTTCATAACCTAATACAACTTTACACAAAAATTGAAAAAAAAAACAAGGTTCATCAAAGTGCTATAATAAAATCAAATGCAGGTACACAGGAATTAATACGAATAGATAAATTAGGTCACATTTAACAACTAATATGGAGTTAAAAGCCAGAAAGTCTAAAATTCAAAATAAGTGAAAGTGTTTCCTTTGCAGAGATGGATATTAACAAGTTATATTTACTTAGATACCTTTACTTGAGTAATGTAAAAAAACAAAAAACAAAAACAACAACACAGAAACGAGAGGAAAAGAATAAACTGGTTTCTTCCAGACAAGTGGAATTGACTGCAAGAAAGTTTTTTTTTTTTTTTTTCCATTTTTCCAGGAGGAATATGACAATATGTGCTGTCATATTTTCTCACATTTCTTTAGACACATTTATTTTAACCTACTACATGTAATCGGACATTTTCTATCTGGTGACATTCCCAGGCCTCAGGTATAAAGCCTTAGAAAATAATCCCACATTTTGAGAGATATGGTTAACTTCAGTAAATTATCATTTTAACATGGAAGTTGATTATTATTATTATTTTTTTTATCTTGATCAGATATCCTTTTACTATAATAAATGGAATCATACTTTCAAAGACAAGATTGTCTATAGGTTTTATGTGTCTCATTATATGTTGTTTTATGAAATAGAATAATTTATATGTTAAATGCAAAGAAAAAAACATATTTTAAGGAGTTAATGCTGTGTCACAGCACAATGCCATAACTATACGATGTAAAGTTCAGATAAGTTTTTTGTTCTTCCTTTATCATTGTCAACTTCTTTTCTGTTTTACTCCCAGTTTTAACTTTAGCCTCACTTGTTTTCATGTCAATCACATTATCTTGCAGTTGCTCACCTTTCACATTATTGCATCATCCATTATTTGGATTTCTAGCATTTTGCCACAATCCATAAATTAGTCTGTCTCTTTTTGCCATAACTTAGGAAAAAAGACTTAAATGTAGGAAGCAGTGCTGCAGTTTTCACTGGTAAACCTGTTTGCAAATAGTGTGCTCTAATGCACTGAAACCACAAGAAAAGATGCTCAGCAAATGCTCGACCAGTGATAAGAAATAAATGGTAATTTAAAGAGGGGCGTGGGTGGCTTTTAGCAACTGTTGGTTCTGGCAAATAAAGTGAGAAAAGATGACTCTTATGTAGCAGTTTACTTCTCTCCAACTCCTGGTGCCAGTTGGTGTTTTGGATGAGAAAGAGAGGCTTGAGTCTTATTACCACAGCAGAAAGGCAGATTCATATTGTGGAGTCCTTCCAAAGTCCTCCATCTCTTTATCAAATACACACACACACACACACACACACACACACACACACACACACACACACACACACACAGTAACACGCTCATATACAACACACACTCCATCAAACAGTCACAGCCTCACGCTTAATTATTCAGTCACTAATTATCTTTGCAACCGCTTACATAACTGAGGTTTCTTTTGTAAGGGGAGGGAAGAAGACGTTTTATAGAGAGGCTGCCGAAAAAAGACCAGCTTTTGAAAGTTTTGAAAGTCATCTGGCTGATGTGCTGACGCAACTTTTCAGGAGCTCCTGAAACAGCTTGAGAAACATTTAATTTAAGGAATATGGATTCATACAGAGGTTTTAAATGTTCTTTTTCCATCTGGATATATCAGCTGGTACTGGTGTTGGAACCTCATGTGAAAAGAAAATATATGTAGTTCTTTAGAATTGATCACCCAAAACACACACATATATTTTATTTATTTATTTAAATTGATTAATTGACTTTATTAAATCTCAAAGTGGAGAAATGTACTTGTTACATCAGCTCAAATAGGAGAAGAATGTGCCAAAGGAGGAAAAAGGTGCATAAACAGTATATACAGTGCGTCTGTATATATTTTCTTTTTATAGTAGGATTATTTTACAGGGTTATTGCACAGGATGTTTACATGGGTATTTACATAGATGAATATATATATTTATATATACAGTTATTGCACTGCGTGTCAAATACAGAGAAACAGGTTATTGCACAGGGTATCAATTAGTAATTGGACATTATACATTGCACAAGTCTAGTTGCAGTAGGGGTTAAGGAAAAGTTCAAATGAGCTTGATAACTGAGGAAAAAGTGGAGACATCATGCTTACTAATAGCTGGTGAGCCCAATATCCCACCTTAGATATCTGACATGCTCCTTGCATGTACAGTCTTTTATCATGTGGGCTTTAAAGGAATAGTACACCCAAAACATGATTAGCCTTCATTTTCTACTCACCCCCATGCTGAACAACACTCTGGAGTACTTTTTTGATATCTCAAATGCATCTGGAGATCTGAGAGGCTTCTTGCTGTCTGCTGACATTCAAATAATGGAGGTCTATGGTGCCCGAGGCAGAAAGGTCCATAAAAGTCCACAAAAAACGTGTCAATATTCCTCCATACTGCTCGTCCAATGTATTCCAAGTGTCCTGAGTGGGTAGCATCCAGAATTTACTCGAAACAAAGTCATTTAGAATGTTTTTAGAGCATAAACTGTAGTGTATAGGATTTCCTGAAAGCGCGTTCACGGCGCTACGGAAACCGCGGCAGACCAACCCAGACGAAAGTGCGCATTCAGCTCAGCAAAGAACTCATGCTCTTCCTCAACACTGAAGTCCTCAGACATTTTTCTTTCGTTGTTTCTTTCTTTGCACTGGTAAACAGCACATTTCTTCTTCTACGCTTGCATTATTGGCAGAGCAGACGCTGAATGCGCACTTTCATCTGGTTTGGTCTGCCGGCTTCCGTAGCGTCATGAACGCGCAGGTGCGCGCTTTCAGGAAATCCTATACACTACTGTTTATGCTCTAAAAACATTCTAAATGACTTTGTTTCGAGTAAATTCTGGATGCTACCCACTCAGGACACTTGGAATACATTGGACGAGCAGTATGGAGGAATATTGACACGTTTTTTTGTGGACTTTTATGGACCTTTCTGTCTCGGGCGCCATAGACCTCCATTATTTGAATGTCAGCAGACAGCAAGAAGCCTCCCAGATCTCCAGATGCATTTGAGATATCAAAAAAGTACTCCAGAGTGTTGTTCAGCATGGGGGTGAGTAGAAAATGAAGGCTAATCATGTTTTGGGTGTACTATTCCTTTAACTAAGACTATTCTTCTTAATTCTCAGTTAGACCTTGCTGGACTTACTGGCATGTTTTGGGTCATTTTTGATGTTGCATTGTGCAGTTTAAACTTTTATATTGATTTATTTAAAGTCCTTAATAATAGAGTTTTATCTCTGGTGGTGAGCTGACCAGGTCCTGCTTCATTAAAAACATCTCAAAACTATGAACCTTCCAACTTCATGCTTCACATTTGTTGTGTATTTTTTCTACAAATACTGTCAAATATACTTAAAACATATCGTTTGCTCTTGTATCCAAATAATGTATTTTTAGAATATAACGTCAGGCTCTAACTGTTGGATTTTTAAAGAGAACAACCACCTACTTAATATTGAGTTATTTTTTTTAAGATTAGAATAAAAGTTTATATAGTTATTTTCTTTAGTTTTTGTTGTTTACTTATATAAATATTTTTTTCAATTATTCAAACTGAAACTAACTATATTTTAGTCCTACCTTTTCACAGCTTCACATATTGGTAGATTATATTTCTCTTTCTGTGTTCTCCTTTCTTCATCCTCTCACCATTTTTCTAGCTTAGTCATTAAAACTGCAAACTGCTTCCTCATCCATTTAACGCCTCTTCGTAACAAAAGAGACACTGGCTTACTGTACGTTTCTGAAACTGCATTACTAAAAAAATTAAGATGCCCTTGACTTGACATCGTGGCTGGATCTCAGATTGTAGACTATTTAATGTTGCATTAAAAAAGTGTAAGTGGAACCATTTACTTTTAAGTTTTAGATTTACTAAAGATGAATTTAAACATTACCATTAGGGAGATTTTTTTTTTTTCATCTCTACCTCTATGACGTGGGGTAGTCGTTTTAAGAATTGCTTCATTTTCCATTAAATTTCTCTTTCTACACTGCTAACCGTGTCTCATTTGAAGGTTCCCAGCATGTTATTCTGCTTATCTCTTCCCCCCCTCTGTTCCCTCATCAGATGCTTAATCTGCACCATTGCTCATAAAGTCTCTAAGCTTATTGTTTTACAACCGCATTAGTTGTTACTCCTTGTAAGCACAACATTTAAACTTAACCTTTCCATGCCTGCTTTAATCTGCTGAACATACAGCATTGGGAGGCTGCAGTGGTTGAACAATAGATTTACAGCAGGTATGATTTTACGTTTTAAGCAAACATGCCAGCATCCGTGTTCACTTGTGCGATCTTAACAGATTTTTGGGTGTGTCATTACCAAGTTTGAGTCCTTCCCCATTGGGATACACTGACTCCTTGTAGCTAACAAGTCATTTCAGTGTAGATACAGATAATGTTCTGAACTTTATCTGCTGCCTTATTGGATAATGTAAGTAGATCCCTGCCAATTCATATGCAGCTTTAATGTTGGCATAAACCCCGTTATTACTGCAGCCATCATACTTTTATACAGTAGCAGCCATTCAAAATGGCCCTTTCCAGTCAAACGCCAGCCGAATGGCAGCCTACTTCCCTGCAACTCCCAGCAAAATCCCCTCCAACTCTCCAGCCACTGGAGTGACCCCCTCCTCCTCCTAGGCGTGCATATTGTTTTTACTCTGACTCCACCCTTTCACTGAATTACAGGGTTTGACCAGGAGATGATGCTTCTCTTTAGATCTTAATGTCCACAAATCTTGACAGAATATTTTAAGCATTAAAGGTTGATGTTTAAGAAGGAATTATAGGGGACCAGCCAAGGAGCAGCCAAGGGTCCATCAAGGAAAGTGGGGAGGTTTTAATGGCTACTAATGTAGTCTTTTAAATAAATTAGGATCAATTCATACTCGTTTTTTATTGGGACCTACATGTTATGAAGGACCCAGAGAGTCACCTAAAAAAAATCTAACATTTTCCAAGTGGAAAGTCATTTTTGCATCAAATTGCACACTTTAAGAGGAATTATTAGAAAGGAATTGTAAACTGTATTTATTAATCAATTAATAATAAATTCAATTATTTTATTTTTATCCATAAGTATAATAATAAGTATAATCCAAATGTTACTCCTCTCTAGATAATCAAGGCTCAACATCGTTCTTTTGGTTTTAACAGCCATTTATTGTGGACATGTCTTATAAAGCCCCAAAAAATGCCGTCAGAACTAAGAAGGGGGAAACAGAAACCCAGCTCAAAACAAATATAAAGGTTTACACAAAATAATTCCAAATAAAACAAAGTCATGCCTCATTGGTCGCATAAACTCCAGAGGAATAAAGATAATTTATTTCTTAAAGCTTTCTGGTGAAACTTCTTGAAAAACAGGTGCAAAAAAGAATTGTGTCAATCAATCTTTCCCATGGGCAACAACGTGACATGCGGAACAAAAATATAGGTTCCTCCTTAAATATTAATGTGCTTTTTAACCAATGTACATACATAAATTTAGTAAAAGTTATTTATTTATTTATTTATGATTGAACTTTTAATTTCAATACTAATATGTATTAACTCTTGTTTTTAACTAAATATTAAAATATTTAAATGAGTTGACTCTGATGGCATCTACACCAAAATATAAATCCGCTTATTAAATGGAGATTTAAAAATCTTATTATAAATACCTTTCCTAATCACACAATAAAAAAGGTATTCCTTATTCCTTCCAAAAAAAAGTAAAAAAAAACAAACCACTGGGCGTGTTTCCCAAGTTGAAGACTTTTTGCTTCCCATCCTGAAAGCAAAATGTCTGGATTGGCGTTAAGCTCCAGGCGTTTATAGAGTAGCCCAACTAAAGTCTTGTCATGGCTTACATGCAAACTGAATCGAAAACAGGTCCATTTTGTTTTTGCTTTTTCCTCTCCATTTATTTATTTTTTTCCGTGACCATTCTGGTCCCTGAGCACACTGAAAACCAGTTAAACCAATCCCAGTTGCTCATCTGATTAACCCAGTTCCCTAATTGGTCATGTTGCTAACTAAGTTGGTAGTCTAACCAATTAGGGAGTTTAACTGCTTTCCAGTTAGTGTTTATGACTAGACTAAGATGCTTAGTGTGGCTCCACACTTGTGTACATGCTGGAAAATCCCACTCCTTTCTTATCTTTATTTGATGTAGGTTAATATGAGTTACATAAACTCTGGCTCCAACATGCACTTACATGATGCTTAGAGTTAATGCACATGCACACACAGAGTGACACAAAAACAAATACGCTCCACATGGGAGCTTTCCACTGGTTAACATTTACAACTGTCACAACTAAACTTAGCGAGGTGTCATCATGGCATCAGTTTACCCCGGGCTTGCCCTCAGCCTTGGTGTTTAGGGGGTTGGTTGAGCTCTGTGTTGCTATGTGTTCATATGAACATCACCTTTCATCAGCATGGGCCTAGGTCACCATCCTTAATGTGTCGGAACCAATCTGGCATATGGATGAATACCACAAATGCCTCTGACATCATGGAGTTTCCACTGCTGTGCTCAGTTCAGTTCAGCTCATGGCTAGCGGCTTGGATGTTTCACATTGCTTGGCTGAAGCACAGGGGTTCCCCACCCACCCACTCACTCACCCACCCCTCCTTGACCAAACATGTCCTCCAAATCTATCATCAAACTTTGACTTTCTTTAGTATATATTCTAAACTTAAGTGGAATAGATGACATGATTACATATTCCTATACTAATTCAGTCTGCCTCTTAAATTCACTTTTATACCATTCTCAAAATTTTTTTTTCTTTAAAACAAAAGCAGCTTTAATTTGTTTTTATTGCTGTGTAAGTCTGTTTTATATTGTAACTTTTGTTATGTTTACTTATACATCATCATTTTAGATCTCTTCTTATACAGTTTTCATATATCACGAACATTAACCCGTCAATCTAAATAATTAACACCATTCCACAGTTCTTCATTCTGAATGATTGATTTTTTCATACTTTTAATACCTGATTGTTTTATTGTCTCTTGCTATATGTTTTTTTTTTGTTTCCTGTCTAATTATCTGAATAATTTCAATACGTATCTGAAGTGGTTAATGTCTGTCCTTTTGTTTTTAACCTCTGAAAAACACTTTTTATAATAATTAACTACTTGAAAAATGCCCAATATATAGTTTATTTGACCGACTGAAAACATTATCTGGTTTGCAAGATGTATGTGAAAATGTAATTTGGCCCTTTTCCACGCTTTTCTCATCATAAAATAAAAATAAATAAATTGAACTTTATTGATCTCACAATGGAGAAATTAACTCTCTGCATTTAACCCATCCCCATTGGGGAGCAGTGGGCTGCCACTGTACAGCGCCCGGGGAGTAATCAGGGGTTAATGGTCTTTGCAGAAAGACTCAGATTGGCAGTCTTTTGGAGTGGGTTTCAAACTCACAACCTCAGGATTCCAAGCCCAATGCCCTAACCACTAGTCTGCCCCTCCCCCATTTATCAGCAGACTAATCTGGCGTTATTCCTGGGGATTACCTCAGAGGTTTCCACAGCTGTCACTCACATGTTCAGCTTGTTCTTAAATATCAAAGGATTTGTTGGAGCAGACTCCAGACCACCTCTTCCATATCCCACCATTGATGGACTGGAAGGTACCATGTCCATCTATGGCCATCATTTCTGCACTGAAAAATATGTCTTTACACCATTTTAGAATGTTCTGTATTTTGCAAACAGAAAAGCAAACACCTTTGTTTACTCATCAAGCTACTCAGTAGCTCAGTGCTTACTTGTTTTATTTATTTATGTTTTCGTGTTATGATTTTTTGAGTGTTAGGAAACATTTTGAAGAGCATTCATTTTTCCATCACACACTCACATGGGCATCTGAAACAGGATAATATAACACCTCTAACTTTAGTCTCTTCTTTTCCATTTTGAATAATCCAATCAGTCTGTGTTCTCGCTTTACTTGCAGTTTATAGTTTCTCCATTTTTCTGTGAACACACCTCTGTTAAAATGATGTAACAACATAAAACATCAAAGCTTATTTTATTCTTACAATTTACGATGTAGGGAAGGAATCTAAGCTCATCCTTAAACTCATGCTTTTGTGCATTTGTGCTTCTTGAGTTTACACCAGCCTGATTTTAAATCTGGTTATCCTTGCCATAAATTAGAGCTCTCAGTAGTTTGTATTTATTTATTTTTTTAGTCAAAGCCCAGAAAAAATGGCCAAAGAGGTTGCGAAGTAGTTAAACTTTTTAGTAACACATTGGGCACATGTCTAAATGAACCAAGGAATGATTCATGAAAGGAAGATTAAAGCTTTGGAATTAATTTAGTTCATCAGACCAGAACTAAATTTGACAGGAAACCTTTCGGATCACTGCAGAGGGCTGCGCTGAAGAGACGTCCTCACTGTCTGACAGATTTGCAAAACGGCACTACGGGCAAATGTAGACAAGTCGGAATGTAGAAAACAGATTCACACCAAACTGACTGCTGAAAGGGAATCAAAAGATGCCTCAAAACATATTTGACCCGGTGCATGCACTTATGTGTGATTATCAAACCTTTATATCTGGAAATTGTTTCCTTTTTGTTGTTGTTGTCAAAAAAAAATTAAACTATCAAAACCAGGCAATTTAAACAGCATAATAATGATGCAATTGTACCTAGATGGGCACAACCAGAACATCACAGCTATGATTTTATAAGTATATCATTCTTTGAGGTCTGCTTTGCCTTGATCTCCTGTAGAAAAATGCAGATGTTGGAATGAGACATGCTATCATTAGATACTCCATCCTATGCTGCAATCAGACTCTCTCTCTGACTTTATGTGAAAACATATTACATTTTAAACAGTGTTTTTCTTTAGGATTTCTGCACGTATCTTATTTTGGGGTGTGTTTGAAAGGGTTGGAGGTTAGGCTTAATACCAACCACTGATCTCACTGACCTATAATAAGAGCTGCGACCTTGAGGAGTGTTGCAAGTAAATTTATCTCAACGACCCTCAGGAATGATGCATCAGGTGACAAGCTTCCTAAGAGTGGCATGCCATGAAAAACACAACACAGACCTCATTGTGTTTATTGGGAAAACCCTTTGGAGAGAACATATGACTCACTGTGGGGTCAAATACGGGATGGAAACTAAGCCTTTATCTTTGCCACAAGGGCTGGAGATGGTTAAGTCACAAAGTAGGGAGAAGTTCTCCTACACATCGTTTATCAAGAAATATCTTGTTAATATAGATCTGTATTATTTGTAAACTTTGAATTATTGGATTATTACTCATTTATACAGAAATCAGCAAGTGTGACATGAATATGAAGACTAATAAATGCCTCATAATTGTGCACACATAAATATTCTTGTTTGTCTAAATAATGAAGTCCCAGGTTTATTGTTGTTGCTGATTTTCAATATTTTTACCAATGAAACCAGTGTGCGTTTCCAGTTTTTCTGCTTTTAACTAGCAGGCTGGAGAGAAATGTCACCATTTTTCCTCATTTATTTGAAATGCAGATCACCAGTAAGAGCTGATCAGTGCAAAGGTGGCTGATTAATACATATTAGTGGCTTGTTTTTCTACTGCTAAATCCCTATTTATTAATATCTCTTTCTCTCTCCTGCTCCGTTCCTGCCACCTGTGGCTGTGCAACATAAGGTTTCAGCATGTACAGCGCCCAGACAAGCAAACACGCATCTCAATAGGTTACTAACATGTTGTTTAGTGTGAGACTGCAAACTGAATCATCCTGGATTCTCTGGCACACGCTCACATTTGTGAAGCTGTTGCAGGGTGGTAATTAGTGGAAGCAGGAAGGTGTTAACAAGCAGGAGCCACACGTTTGCAGCTGAGGTGTCGGTGCAAGCGTGCTGCCAAAAGTCACAGCCACACCTATGGCACCCAGAACCCTGTAAATAGGTGAACATGTACCCAAACTGGGATAATGTAATCAAAATACTCCCATTTCATGCTTTCACAGATTGTAAGTTTTTGCTTAAAGTGACTATATGTCCACCATAACTCTTCCTTCTACTACTCTTTTTTTTTTTTCCTCTTTGCCTCTTTTCCATGCCACCCTACTCCTCTGCCGCCTCCTCCTCCTCCTCCATTTACACAGTCTGAGTCACTGTAGGCAAAAGGTGAGCTGCCACATTCAGTTGGTTATTTTCATCGTGTTACATCTGAAACTCTCTTCAATGCTCTTTAATTTTACTTCCATTCCCTGCCTTTCAAATCATCCACCTCTTATCCATAGGTTGAAATCATGATTATTTTTTTAAAGCCTCTCAGCTTTTTAGTCACAAAGCAAATGTTTTGACTTGAGACAAGGCGCTCCATAAATCTACTCAAAAGCCAACTTTTGTTGCACGGCAGCATAACTTCAAATGTGCTTCCTGATATGTGAAATATCACCTAAGCTGTTGTGGACAGTGCTGTGTGTTAAGCATTTTTTGGTGAGCCTGCCTAGGATTCTTTTGACAAGTTGCGAAATATACACGACATGATTGCCACAGCTCACACTTGCCATGTGCACTACTGCAACAGAATCAGCACAGCTCACTGCTCAAAGTAATGAGCCAGTTCTGACATCAGATCATCTAATTGGTTATCTTATCTTTAGATATTTCAAATTAAACAGCAACATTGTAGGAAAAGTACGGACATATGCAGGACATATAGTTATTTTGTTGAATCTTTTCATTTTAAAACTGTGTTCCACTTTTAAACTGAGAACTACCCCATGCTTATTGTGACAAATGTTGAGAGATTTTCGTTAGATGAAAAAAGTTTGCCTTTAATGACAGCCAATTAGAGGAACTGATTTTTTTTATGCATTGTAATACAAAAAAAAAAAAATGTCCTCGGTTTTTATGTTCAGCTGTTGCTATTAATTTTTCCGATCTTCTCAGCTGTTTTCTGTATGTTTAGAGTCATCCAATTGGTCTCTTATCTTGTTTTCACTTGTTCCCTCAGGTTGTGGAAACAGTGGTTTGAGTGGAGACATATATAATGCCGGCTACCATGCAATCACCAACATAGATTATTCCTCAGTTTGCATTGGCCTTATGAGTGCCAGGTACAGCAGCCATCCCGGTATGACATGGCACCAGATGGACGTTCGCCAACTCTCCTTCCCGGATGCCTCCTTCGACGTTATCCTTGAGAAGGCAACGCTGGATGCCATCATGGTAGAGGAGAAGTCACCATGGGAGGTCACTCCTGAAACTTTGTGTTTCATTCATCAAGCTCTCACAGAGGTAGCTGTAAAATTCTTTGTATTTTATAGTACTTCATGGTGTGAGAAAAGTTTAAAGTGGTTCTGTTTCAAAGAGTACTTTTCTCATTCAGTCTTTGTTTTAAGGAGTTATCAACAAAGCATAAATATGTCTGATAAAATTTTGTTAAGATATGTTCACATCAAATGTGAATTTCACAGCTGGAGCTGAGGATTGACATGTTATTGCTATGTAGAGGGCAGCTCTGGAGAGCATTGAGGCTGAGCGAGGTGAAAGGGGAAAATTTAGCCAAGCAAATGACTGTTTGCCTGATAAATATGCCAACTGAAATTTGCAGGAGTTGAAAAATCTGAAGTTTTGTTTACATTCGCCTAATGAAATCCAGTAATGAACCAGGGGTGTGTTCGGTCTGTGAAAATAAGGAGGCCGGAAGTTTTTTGGCTATGGGTTCAAACAGGTCCAGCCTTCTCCAGCTTTCATCGCCTGTACGCTCTATCGCCTAGCAAACTCAAATTCTCAGTAGTGAGAACCCTACTGTTCTGGGTGCTAATAACATTTTTGAGGAGCTTCAGCAGCAGTACCATTGTCAAGCATATCATATTTAAAGGTCCCACACTGTACAAATATTCGAATTTGTGCTTAAATGTCAGCCACACACATTTACTCACTCAATTAATTCCACATGGAAATATTCACTTACTTGTATTATATATATATATTAGTTTAATATATATATTAAACTGCACTTGGGCTGCTTAGTGGCGCAGTGAGTAGCACTGCTGTCTTGCAGCAAGAAGGTCACTGGTACAATTCCCGGTCGGGGATCTTTCTGCATGGAATTTGCATGTTCTCCCTGATGCGTGGGTTTTCTCCAGGTACTCCGGCTTCCTCCCACAGTCCAAAAACATGACCATTAGGTTAATTGGCTTCTCTAAATTCTCCTGAGGTGTGAGTGTATGTGAATGGTCGTTTGTCCTGTTTGTCTCTATGTTGCCCTGCGATGGATGGTGTACCCCGCCTCTCGCCCATTGACAGCTGGAGACCAGCACCAGCACCCCTCACGACCCCACTTGGGATTAAGCGTGTTAAGAAAATGGATGAATGGATGGATGGATAAACTGCACTTACAATATTCACCTATGTTCACCGCCGTTTACCTTTTTCCTCTGAGCACGGAGCAACCGGTATGCTTGGACTCGCAATAAATCAAGGGATACCCAAGGCTACGAAAGATACACCAGATCTGTCCTTCAAAACGGGCAAAAAGAAGGCTGCATTTGTTGGCTGCATAAAAATCTTCCAATCGGCAGATGAATCTGTCCTTCGCAGGACACAGCCCCTGAATTCGATATATTGATACCATATATGGAGCTGTTAGCTACAGTGAAGGAGGCTGCGGAGATGGGCTTCTCTTAATCAAAATGGAAGTTAGAGAAAAAATATTGACATAGAAAGAAGTGGGGAATGATCTTAAGAGGTTCGTGGGTGGCTTTTAAAAATGCAGTTTCAATTTAGAAGGGCTGTTTTGTCGTCCTACCTCCAGTGCAGACTCCAACCACTTCTCCCTCCTGCTCTGTTTCCCTGACAGGCTTATCTGCTCTACCACTGTACTCATTACATCTCCAGTAGCTTGCCTCTTCCTACTCCATCTCCTTGGCGGACTTCCGCTATGTACCGCTGTTCCCCTCCCGGCCAGCCGTAGCCCCCTCTCCCCTGCCTTCTGCGCTCTGTCTCCCTAGCAGACTTAACGCTGTTTTAATTTGGCGCTAGAAGAATGAAACTGGGGATGTTTTTCACGTTCCGTGTGAATGTACCATTATATGTATAAATGACGAACAAATGTCAAATGACATTTATTTGCATTTAAGGAATCCCAGATGAAACAGCTACACATGTGTTCTAATGAAGAAAACATCATTTTCAAAGGGATAGGGCATCATAGCATAGCTAGAATATATCACTTACCTTCATACTTAAGCAAGCACATAAAGTCCCAGGCACACATTACTTCACTAAAGAATAAAATGTCTCAGTGTAGCATATCTTGGTTAATTCTACCATCTCTCATACTGTTGTCTTCTTTTTGCTACAATAACTCTGACAAATATTAAATATTAAGTAGAAAACATGAACGACAGAGCTAATCTAGATGCATGCTTGATGAGGATGCAAGCTATTTTTTAACTTCAGAAAATATACTAACTACTTGCATATCTAACTACCTACTCAGCTACTTTTATTAACTGTTTACTTGAATATAAGCTTTTATTTACTTTCTTTAGAGTAAGAGATAAAAGAAAGGAGTAAATGTTTGCACTGTTTCACGGACTCAAGTTTCGTTGTCTTTCACCTCTGATTGTTGTCCAAACAGTAAATGTCACCACTGTGATGATTGGAATGCCCCACTATAACAACAGTACACCAGCAAATTACTCTCTGACAGTGAAATCCGTAATAGTGGCACTTAACATTTCCACTCCACTGCCCGTAGGAGGACTGACAAGACGCTGAGTGTTGTAGGCTGTTGGCTGCTGCACTAACCACCGCATCAGTTTGAAAATGACAATGCTTTGGCCATTAGCCATGCTAGACCTTGACACACTAAGACAAGAGAACACCGCTATTAACTGAAGTAGGTAGCTCAGGGTTTTTATTAAAAAGGCTCAAGATACACTTACTGGCAGGTTTGAAGTGCAGCTTCATAATTTACAAATCAAAGTTGGGTCAACAGTCTAAAGATGCATCTGTTTCCATCTGCGTGCTTACATGACATATTTGTAGTCTAACTGGTGGTTTATTTTGATCACCTAAGTCCAAATGAAAGGTGCAATCCAATTGTTTTTCTTTTGTAATACAAATGCATTTCAATCAATCAGGAAATTTTGTCCATGTAAATTTAACATATTGCAATACAATCTCATTCTGATTTTGCTCAATCAGATCAGAATTTAACGATTGCTGGGTTAACATGACACTTTAATTCATCTCTTCATCCTGACAAGTGAGACTTGCAGTGCTTTAAATGTTGTTGGTTGTTTCATGGGATGCTGGGTTTGGTGCCAGTTTGGAGGTTATTTATCACTTTTCCATGTTTGAAATTTCCAACTTCAAGTCTGTGTATGTATATATATATATACATATATATGTATGTATATATATATATATATATATATATATATATATATATATATATATATATATATATATATATATATATATATATATATATGTCTGGCTAACCAACCAGACATCGTGTTGATCGACAAACAGCAGCAGAAGGCAGTAGTGATAGATGTGGCAATCCCAAGCGACAGCAACATCAAGAAGAAAGAACACGAGAAGCTTGAGAAATACCAAGGACTGAAGGAGGAGCTGGAAAAGATGTGGAAAGTAAGAGCAACAGTGGTGCCAGTGGTAATTGTAGCACTGGGGGCTGTGACCCCCAAACTGGGAGAGTGGCTACAGCAGATTCCAGGTAAAACATCAGAGGTCTCTGTCCAGAAGAGCGCAGTCCTAGGAACAGCTAAGATACTGCGCAGAACCCTCAAACTCCCAGGCCTCTGGTAGAGGACCCGAGCTTGAGGATGACACATACCACCCCACGAGGGGTGAGAAAACAGTTTTTTATATATATATATATATATATATATATATATATATATATATACATATATACATGTATGTATATATATATATATTAGTGCTGTCAATCGATTAAATTTTTTTAATCGCGATTAATCGCATCAATGCCTGAGTTAACTCGCGATTAATCGCATTTTAATCGCAAATTTTTTTTCTGATTGAAAATCATTTAAATACTCTCAATGACATACAAAAAATACATACAGGCTAGGTTTGTGCCAATGTTCTTTTTTTTAAATGAAAACAGGTCACAGACACTGATTTATGCCATAGAAACATATGGCAAGAAGATGGGGAGGCATGTAGCAAAAAATAACAAATATATAGCCAAAAAAAAAGGCCCTGAAAACAGGCTGATGTAAAAGACAGTCTTTACAGTTAATACAGTCTTTTGAACAAAGACAAGCATTTTACCCTACTGCTATAAAATGTAGTACAGTTAACATTAGATGTTAATTAACCAAGATATGCTCTAGAAAGTTACTTTTCAGCCTCTTAACAAAAATGAGAACACACACACACCCACCCACCCACACACAGACACACCCACCCACACACACACACACACACGATACCGACCTGTGGCGAACACAGACGGCAAGAGTGCCGTAGCAGATTCCATTTCACCTCAGTAATTTGTTTTCTCAGCGTATTTCAGGTTGCTACTAGTTACCAGACACTCAACTTGTTTGTTGGTGGTGGGGCTTAAAGAAAAGGCACTAGCGTCACCCAGTGTATGAGCGTCTTTTTCCCTTGAGGAGCTCCGCTCTAGAAGGGGGGAAATAGCCCCGCCTTCCCGCAGGCTGCAGCGGGATGTACTTGGAAAATTGTACCATAAAACCACATAGCGTTAATCTCACGTTAAAAAAATTATCGCCGTTAAAATGGCCTCGCGTTAACGCGATAATAACGCGATAATTTTGACAGCACTAATATATATATATATATATATATATATATATATATATATATATATATATTAGGGGTGGGACGCGATTAAAATTTTTAATCGCGATTAATCGCATGGCTGTGAAATTAATTAATCGAATTAATCGCATTTTAATCGCATACTTGGAAACAGCAGGAAGTAACTTTTTCCACATGGATTTTGAATGACAACACACAAGCTTAATAAACAAAATATTGTTTGTTTATTTTTTTAAAGAAATATCAACAGGCCAGTGCAAATTTTAAAGTTCAACATATTTAGGAACGCTAAACTCAGAAATTCAGGTAGCTCTATAGGTATAGGTAGAGCTTAATACTGCTTTTTAAACGCAAAAATGCAATACTCTCAAGTACATTCAGAACAAAAAGCCTCTGAGGCTTTAACACAATTCGTGGATTTATCAACAGTTCAACTGTTTACAAAAAATAAG